GTTATTATTATTATGATTATTTTTTTATACCAAGACGGTAGCAAAAATGCACACGGCCCACCTGGGTGCTTACTCTTGAAACCAATCTCAATGTCAATGCAATTTCAATCCAATAGAATCTCAATAATGATTCAATGTCAAAACTATACAACCCCTATCGTAGCTATTAAAATAGCATTCAGAGTACGGAATATAAAGCCAAACAATACCATTTAGTTCAATCAATATCCACGCAATACGGGTGCAATGGGCGCTAGTGTTGCAACTCGAGAGTACGAAATTTCACAATATCAATGTCGATCGATCGGAATTAGATTCAAGAGTAAGCCCCCTGATGGTAAGCGATGTAGTAATTATTGAGGTCGTAAACACCCTTTCAGGCCACTCGACAGGAAAGACAGTTAAAACGACTTTAATCCAACGAGAACTATACCTTAGACCCCCTTTGATAGGTATTGGGGTCAAAAATATTAACTTACTGTAAGTAGGCGGTGTGGCTGGCGCAGTAACTGGTAGTACCACGTTGAGTGGGGGCTGTGGCGCCTTCTGTGGATGAGAAGATATCTTATTTAACATAACATATGTATGTAGGAAATAGAAACAAGAAGCGTGGTCTACAACAGAACTTAGCTAATACAATTAGCGAACTTAACTAATACAAATAACAAAGAAGTTTTTAAAATAGCAGAACAATTATAAAGCTGTCGATGTCGACGTGATCCATACGTCCTGAGCTTTTTTAAAGGGGAAAATAATCGAATGACTTCGACATCGCGAACCAACGTAACAATGTATCCAAGAATTGTAGGTATTGTGAACCTAATTAAAAAAGAGTAAGAGACTATGGCTTTTCTTGCTCGTTCTTCTGCATAGCAATCTACTCCTTGGAACGAGCAAATAGCATCGCCAGAGGACTGACCAATAAACGGACATTTCTTTAATATTACAATTTTTTTTGACATTCAAAAGTACCGTCCTGGTTTAATTGAAATAAGTAATTATGACTTTGACTATATCTATGTAGAATCAAGTTGTACACAAGGCTACACATCGAGCTTTACATGACCAGTATAAACTGAACGTTAAATGTGCGGAAAGACGATGCGACGCGACACCAGGATAAACTGGTTTTGTACAGATTGATGTGTGGCCGTGTGTACAGGCGAATCGAAGCGAATCAACGCTAAAATCTGTCCAAATCAGGCTTATTAGGGCGCGCTTCTTTTGGTATGCATTACGCTATGGTAGTAAGGTTTAATTTCCTATGTTCATAATTGGATTGTCGCTTCGATATGCTTTTGATATGCGCCCTTATAAACAGCCCACAAGACTATATTTCACTGGAACACTATAGAGGCGCAACCAATCGCTGCTATCAACAAAATGTATAAGCTGATTGTGCAACTGATCTGTTTTCCATACATTTTGTTGATAGCGGGGTGTGGTAACGCCGCTACGGTGTCTCGATTAAATATATCCTTTAGTTAGCTACTTAGGATACTAACAAAAAATAAGTAACTAGATATAAACTTACCCGTCCAGTAAAATACGGAGTTGAAGAGTGGAATTGCGCGCAGTCAGCTCGTAGTGCGGGCGAGGATGGGGTCGTGGAGGGGGATGATGGTTCCACGGCTGGGGATGACGACATCGTGGGGTTGGGGTCAGATTATAATGGTTAACATGTCGCTGGGGGAATAACCAACGCTATAGGATCGACATGGAAAAGATAGGTGATATTTTCGGAGCCTACGAAGCGTTTGGGGTCAAAATTATCCCTCGATGTAAACGGGGTCAACTATTCTGCAAGCGTACGGTGTCAAACTTATTCCAATCGGTGGCAATTTTAATTATATATTAAGAAATTGTTGCTATTATTATTGCTTCGTTGCTAATAAAAATATGTTGCATTAATTATTACTTCGTTGTTATTTATTTTATTGGAGTTAGATTCTATCATAATAAAATATAGATTATATTTTATTTACTTATTTATTTATTATCCTAAATATAATAATTTAATTATACTCATTCGTTTATATGTAACAATTTAACAATTAAATTGGAATGAATAAAGGAATAGGGGTAGTATAATTTTAATTTATTTTATCTAAAATAATTATTATTTATTTGGAAGATTATTGTATGTATTTGGAATGGAAAAGGAAGTTATAGGTAGGAAATGGAAAATATTAGGATTATCCTGTAACAAAAATAATTATGATTAGTTTATATTACATTTAACAACCAGATAAGTATTTACCGACTAAAAGCTCGTACAAAACACGATGCCATACGATGCGAATTCGCAACGCAGATAATTACGACACGAATTGCTGCGATGCGATTCCGTGCGACAAGGCGTCTCCCAGGGTGACCATTCCTTCGACGACCATCAACCGTACTATACGTATTTTAAATTGAAAACTAGGTCGTGACATAAATCGTAAAAGGAAGTGTGCACTTCTGTTATTACTTAGAAGATACAGGACAAAGATACAAAGAAGATCAGATTTTGATGCGCGATGCGAATCAATTCGCAAGTTCTTGCGATGCGTAGAGGGAGCTCGCACATTATTGCGATGCGACGTCGCATCGTAGTTTTGTGTACGAGCCTTAAAAGTATCTATAATTGGGTAGTTTCCAGGGTAAGAAATATTAAAAATCCATTCAGTCCGTTAGTTAGATAAAGAAAAAATAATTAGACACATATGTTTTTATTTTTCTCGTATATACTTACAAAAAATACGTGTAGAAAAAAGAATCCCTTTGTCCTTTAGCCATGGCATCACACGTGAACGGCTGGATCGATTTCACTAATTAACATAACA